CTTCCCTTGAAATGGAGTACTGTTTCGTCATGGGAGGACCTGTACGATGTACTATTCTATGTCTAGTAGCCCAAAGCCATTCTTATTCTTAGCCCAATAGGATGATTAGCAGTCAGAGGATCTGACACCAGAAGTGCAAGAACAGAGAATTTAGGTTAGAGTGGTTCAAAATCCAATTGCAGGTGTATTTGTGAAATAACGTCAATGCCCAAAATACAAGAGGTACAGATCTGTGCTGCCATAAGAGAGATGTCAAGTGACTTAGGACCAAAACATAAACAAACAGGTTCACTCATGTAATCGTGAGCATTTTCTCCTGGTTAAACGAAGACCAAAATATCTTGTCATCTCAATAGGAATTACTGATTCTTCTTTCATTCACAGTGATTTTCACATACAATCAAGTTAACTTCCTTGTGTGTAACTGGCTGCAAAAAGGCTCTCACAGAAGACATCTTTAAAAAGAATGACGAGCAGATGGAGGAGGGGGAGGAAACAAATCTGAATGGGAGTCCCATTGTAACAGCTGAATTATTTTTCCCCGCCATCACCGGCGAAATAGCTCCACTCAGTGAGCCAGGAAATGGAATTTTCCATTCTGAAAACAAATGAGCAGTGTATACATTGTGAAACACCCTCTTATGTAAAATATAAGCACTTGTAGAATGCTAATCCGCCAATCAAATTAGTGGACTGGAACTAAAGGTTGTATGAAACTATTTCAAAAAGTAATTCTCAGACCTCGATGTCAGATCTATGCTTGAATGCAAAATGAATTAATGTAAAAAAAAAAAAAAATTTTATTTTGTGATGCACCACATTTTAAATGTAAATTTCTGAATTTCTAAATCTTTATAATTTGAATGGTGATATGTATAATATTTAAAATTATAAAAATGACTCCAGCAGTGGCAATATAAAGTCTAAACTCTGCAGTTTGAATAGCCTCCACAGGGTGGAAGCAAAGATCTTTTTTTACTTCCTAAATCACCAGATATCTCACCGTTCTATTTCCTGACACTATTATCCAAAACAACTGAAAACTATAAGAATTCAAGCCAGGCATAATGCTGTGCATTTTAGAATTAAGGGCCTTACCTGATATTTTAAATTCAAACTTATGGTCCACTTTGCTGACACTTTGGTCCGTAGGACCATATTCTAAGAGAATCTTATTTTACCGCAAAGAGATCTCCTAAGGGGCATGAAAAGTTATTATCTAAGAGATGAGTTATTAGCTTAAAACCTATTCACAAATCGTCTGATTGAAATGTTTGCTAAAAGCTAAGTTAAGAGTAAAGGAGGGGTTGGGCTCATTGCTGTCGTTTGGAATTTATCTGCCACTCATCAGAGTGCCATTAATCAGTTCCGTTGCATTTGCCAAAACTACTTAGCATCAAGGACGGAACATGGCCATACTCATCAAAATAGCGTATGGCATCAAGCAGATACCTGGACATGTGTATTGAAATCTCCATTAATCTCCAGTACTCACAAAGAAGCGGGCTACACTCCGGCCACACCCACCTTAGATGCGTCCCTACAAAAATGGGTCTCCTCAAACTTTCTCGCTTCCTTTTCAGCTAGTCCTTTTCAGTTTGAGCTGCTCAGCTCAGTGTTACAAATTATGTCAAAAAAACCCTGCTGTGTTAAGCACCTCTACTTACATCAAAAGTGCAGAGTCAACCCATCCTTGCCCTCTTGAACTTGAGATCTGCTTCACGCTTTTGATTTGTTTGTTTGTTGCCAGTTTTATTTAAATAAAAGCATTCTTACTTCAAAAGTGCAGAGTCAACTCATCCCCGGACTTTTGACCTTGATCTCCGCTTCACGCTTTTGATTTGGTTGTTTGTTGTTGTTTTTTAAATATAGCATTCTCTGCAGATGTTGACTTCTCTGCTGCATGACAGTATACTTTCCCATCAACATGGAGGCAGTAGGATTCTGTGAGTGGCAACAGGAGATAGACAGATGGATATACTTACTCTCCAATTGTTAAAAAGCATTAGAGATAGCAGCTTGTCCTTTTCAGCTCAGTGTCACAAATCATGTCTCTAAACCTAACCACCTCTACTTACATCAAAAGTCCAGAGTCAACCCCTCCTTGCCCTCTTCACCTTGAGATCTGATTCATACTTTTGATTTGTTTGTTTGCTGCCAGTTTTATTTAAATAAAAGCATTCTTACTTCAAAAGTGCAGAGTCAACTCATCCCCAGACTTTCGACCTTGTTCTCCGCTTCAAGCTTTTGATTTGATTGTTTGTTGTTGTTTTTCAAACGTAGCATTCTCTGCTGCTTGACAGTATACTTTGCCATCAACATGGAGGCAGTAGGAATGTGTGAGTGGCAACATGAGATAGACAGATAGATAGCCTTTGTTTACACTGCAATTGTTAAAAAGCATTGGAGCTAGCAAGGACGCCTTTGATCCATGGACCACTGGGTTACGGGCCCAGCACGTAGAAAACACTAACTGGCATAGGCAAGTGGAACAGTATGCCAATTTGTCAAGTCAAGTATACCGTTCTCAAGAAAGAAAGGAGAAGTAGGGCTGAATTCTGTTTCTATTGTGGCAGCAAGCAATACTGAGTCTCTCAGTGGCTAGTGCATGCTAGATTTTCTTGAGCCGCTATCGAGAGAGACCCGCTTGAAACCCGACAATGTCACAGTGGCCTAATGGATAAGACATTGGCCTCCTAAACCAGGGATTGTGGATTTGAGTCCCATCTGGACTCTGCTGGAAGCAGAGTGGCCCAGCGGAAGTGTGCTGGGCCAGTAACCCAGAGGTCAAAGCCATCCTCTGCTACCTCCAATGCTTTTAACAATTGCAGAGTGAACAAAGTCTATCTATCTGTCTATCTCATGTTGCCACTCACACATTCCTACTGCCTCCATGTTGATGGCAAAGTATACTGTCAAGCAGCAGAGAAGTCAACATTTGCAGAGAATGCTATATAACAAACAATCAAATCAAAAGTGTGAAGCGGAGGACAAGGTCAAAAGACCGGGGATGAGTTGACTCTGCACTTTTGAAGTAAGAAGGCTTTTATTTAAATAAAACTGGCAACAAACAAACAAATCAAAAGCGTGAAGCAGATCTCAAGGTCAAGAGGGCAAGGATTGGTTGACTCTGCAGTTTTGATGTAATTAGAGGTGGTTAACACAGCAGGGGTTTAGAGACATGATTTGTGACACTCAGCTTAGCAGCTCGAACTGAAAAGACTAGCTGAAAAGGAAGCTAGAAAGTTTGAGGAGACCCATATTTGTAGGGACTCATCTAAGGTGGGTGTGGCCGGAGTGTAGCCCGCTTCTTTATGAGTACTGGCTGTCCTTGGGCAGGATGCACTAGGCACTGAGAGACTCAGAATTGCTTGCTGCCACAATAAAAACAAAATTCAGCCTTACTCCTCCTTTCTTGTTCAAGAACGGTGTAGTTGACTTGACCAATTGGCATACTGTTCCACTGGCCTATGCCAGTTAGTGTTTTCTACGTGAAACTTGGGGGCTGATAATTCCTCCTAATTTCATGCCGAGCATAGCAATCTGCTGTTGTTGTGACCGCACTAGATTTTCTTGAGCCGCTATCGTGAGAGACCCGCGTGTAACCCCACAATGTCCCAGTGGCCTAATGGATAAGGCATTGGCCTCCTAAGCCAGGGATTGTGGGATCGAGTCCAATCTGGGGTGTGTTGAAAGCAGAGTGGCGCAGCGGAAGCGTGCTGGGCTCATAACCCAGAGGTTGATGGATCGAAACCATCCCCTGCTAGCTCCAATACTTTTCTACAATTGCAGTGTAAACAAAGGCTATCTATCTGTCTATCTCATGTTGCCACTCACACATTCCTACTGCCTCCATGCTGATGGCAAGTTATACTGTCAAGCAGCAGAGAATGCTAAATAACGAACAATCAAATCAAAAGCGTGAAGCGGAGAACCAGGTCAAATGTCCGGGGATGAGTTGACTCTGCACTTTTGAAGTAAGAAGGCTTTTATTTAAATAAAACTGGCAACAAACAAACAAATCAAAAGCGTGAAGCAGATCTCAAGGTCAAGAGGGCAAGGATTGGTTGACTCTGCAGTTTTGATGTAAGTAGAGGTGGTTAACACAGCAGGGGTTTAGAGACATGATTTGTGACACTGAGCTTAGCAGCTCGAACTGAAAAGACTAGCTGAAAAGGAAGCGAAAGTTTGAGGAGACCCATTTTGTAGGGACCATCTAATGTAGGGTGTGGCCGAGTGTAGCTCCTTCTTTGTGAGTACTGGCTGTCCTTGGGCAGGATGGACTAGGCACTGAGAGACTCAGAATTGCTTGCTGCCACAATAAAAACAAAAATTAGCCCTACTCCTCCTTTCTTGTTCAAGAACGGTGTAGTTGACTTGACCAATTGGCATACTGTTCCACTGGCCTATGCCAGTTAGTGTTTTCTACGTGAAACTTGGGGCTGATAATTCCTCTGCAGGTGGTAGAGATGAATGAGAACGTGTTCAGTCCTTGATGCTAAGCAGTTTTGAGTGCAGGTTTATCGACCGCTGGCAAGAGACTTAACGGATCTGAATTTCAGAGGCATATTCGGTGGTACACCAGGTTTCCCTGGGTGACAGGTTGCAGTTTTTCTCTGATATCCTTCAGCCTCTGAGCACGATGAAATGGTCGGCGAAACAGCTCGAACAAACGGTCATAGGAGCAGAAAGGTTCTACCTCCTGGTTCTAAGTTGCAGTTTCCCAGATCAGTGCTTTGTCTATGAGCAGTTTTCTGAACAGTGCCACCTTAAATTGTTCTGCAACTTTGACTTGTTTATAGAAATATAGAGATCACTGTAGAAGAATTCCTGTACACAGCGATGGGCGGGAGGGTCAAGTGGTTGGTTGCTGCGATAATCGGTATAGGTCTTGTTGGTGTGGTGGAAGTGTGTGATTTTCATGCCGAGCATAGCAATCTGTTGTTGTGGCGCACAAGTTTTTCTTGATGCCGAGCATAGCAATCTGCCGCGTTGTAACCGCACAAGATTTTCAAATGGATAAGGTATTGGCCTCCTAAGCCAGGGATTGTGGGTTCGAGTCCCATCTGGGGTGTGTTGAAAGCAGAGTGGCCGCCGGAAGCGTGCTGGGCCCATAACCCAGAGGTCGATGGATCGAAACCATCCTCTGCTAGCTCCAATCCTTTTCTACAATTGCAGTGTAAACAAAGGCTATCTATCTGTCTATCTCATGCTGCCACTCACACATTCCTGCTGCCTCCATGCTGATGGCAAGTTATACTGTCAAGCAGGAGAGAAGTCAACATTTGCAGAGAATGCTATATAACAAACAATCAAATCAAAAGCGTGAAGTGGAGAACCAGGTCAAATGTCCGGGGATGAGTTGACTCTGCACTTTTGAAGTAAGAAGGCTTTTATTTAAATAAAACTGGCAACAAACAAACAAATCAAAAGCGTGAAGCAGATCTCAAGGTCAAGAGGGCAAGGATTGGTTGACTCTGCAGTTTTGATGTAAGTAGAGGTGGTTAACACAGCAGGGGTTTAGAGACATGATTTGTGACACTGAGCTTAGCAGCTCGAACTGAAACGACTAGCTGAAAAGGAAAGTTATACTGTCAAGCAGCAGAGAAGTCAACATTTGCAGAGAATGCTATATAACAAACAATCAAATCAAAAGCGTGAAGCGGAGAACCAGGTCAAATGTCCGGGGATGAGTTGACTCTGCACTTTTGAAGTAAGAAGGCTTTTATTTAAATAAAACTGGCAACAAACAAACAAATCAAAAGCGTGAAGCAGATCTCAAGGTCAAGAGGGCAAGGATTGGTTGACTCTGCAGTTTTGATGTAAGTAGAGGTGGTTAACACAGCAGGGGTTTAGAGACATGATTTGTGACACTGAGCTTAGCAGCTCGAACTGAAAAGACTAGCTGAAAAGGAAAGTTATACTGTCAAGCAGCAGAGAAGTCAACATTTGCAGAGAATGCTATATAACAAACAATCAAATCAAAAGCGTGAAGCGGAGAACCAGGTCAAATGTCCGGGGATGAGTTGACTCTGCACTTTTGAAGTAAGAAGGCCTTTTATTTAAATAAAACTGGCAACAAACAAACAAATCAAAAGCGTGAAGCAGATCTCAAGGTCAAGAGGGCAAGGATTGGTTGACTCTGCAGTTTTGATGTAAGTAGTAGGGGTTAACACAGCAGGGGGTTTTGAGACATGATTTGTGACACTGAGCTTAGCAGCTCGAACTGAAAAGACTAGCTGAAAAGGAAAGTTATACTGTCAAGCAGCAGAGAAGTCAACATTTGCAGAGAATGCTATATAACAAACAATCAAATCAAAAGGGCGTGAAGCGGCGAACCAGGTCAAATGTCCGGGAGATGAGTTGACTCTGCACTTTTGAAGTAAGAAGGCTTTTATTTAAATAAAACTGGCAACAAACAAACAAATCAAAAGCGTGAAGCAGATCTCAAGGTCAAGAGGGCAAGGATTGGTTGACTCTGCAGTTTTGATGTAAGTAGAGGTGGTTAACACAGCAGGGGTTTAGAGACATGATTTGTGACACTGAGCTTAGCAGCTCGAACTGAAAACGACTAGCTGAAAAGGAAAGTTATACTGTCAAGCAGCAGAGAAGTCAACATTTGCAGAGAATGCTATATAACAAACAATCAAATCAAAAGCGTGAAGCGGAGAACCAGGTCAAATGTCCGGGGATGAGTTGACTCTGCACTTTTGAAGTAAGAAGGCTTTTATTTAAATAAAACTGGCAACAAACAAACAAATCAAAAGCGTGAAGCAGATCTCAAGGTCAAGAGGGCAAGGATTGGTTGACTCTGCAGTTTTGATGTAAGTAGAGGTGGTTAACACAGCAGGGGTTTAGAGACATGATTTGTGACACTGAGCTTAGCAGCTCGAACTGAAAAGACTAGCTGAAAAGGAAAGTTATACTGTCAAGCAGCAGAGAAGTCAACATTTGGTTCTAAGTTGCAGTTTCCCAGATCAGTGCTTTGTCTATGAGCAGTTTTCTGAACAGTGCCACCTTAAATTGTTCTGCAACTTTGACTTGTTTATAGAAATATAGAGATCACTGTAGAAGAATTCCTGTACACACAGCGATGGGCGGGAGGGTCAAGTGGTTGGTTGCTGCGATAATCGGTATAGGTCTTGTTGGTGTGGTGGAGAAGTGTGTGATTTTCATGCGGAGCATAGCAATCTGCTGTTGTTGTGACCGCACTAGATTTTCTTGAGCCGCTATCGTGAGAGACCGCGCGTGAACCCCTCAATGTCCCAGTGGCCTAATGGATAAGGCATTGGCCTCCTAAGCCAGGGATTGTGGGTTTCGAGTCCCATCTGGGGTGTGTTGAAAGCAGAGTGGCGCAGCGGAAGCGTGCTGGGCCCATAACCCAGAGGTCGATGGATCGAAACCATCCTCTGCTAGCTCCAATCCTTTTCTACAATTGCAGTGTAAACAAAGGCTATCTATCTGTCTATCTCATGCTGCCACTCACACATTCCTACTGCCTCCATGCTGATGGCAAGTTATACTGTCAAGCAGGAGAGAAGTCAACATTTGCAGAGAATGCTATATAACAAACAATCAAATCAAAAGCGTGAAGTGGAGAACCAGGTCAAATGTCCGGGGATGAGTTGACTCTGCACTTTTGAAGTAAGAAGGCTTTTATTTAAATAAAACTGGCAACAAACAAACAAATCAAAAGCGTGAAGCAGATCTCAAGGTCAAGAGGGCAAGGATTGGTTGACTCTGCAGTTTTGATGTAAGTAGAGGTGGTTAACACAGCAGGGGTTTAGAGACATGATTTGTGACACTGAGCTTAGCAGCTCGAACTGAAACGACTAGCTGAAAAGGAAAGTTATACTGTCAAGCAGCAGAGAAGTCAACATTTGCAGAGAATGCTATATAACAAACAATCAAATCAAAAGCGTGAAGCGGAGAACCAGGTCAAATGTCCGGGGATGAGTTGACTCTGCACTTTTGAAGTAAGAAGGCTTTTATTTAAATAAAACTGGCAACAAACAAACAAATCAAAAGCGTAAAGCAGATCTCAAGGTCAAGAGGGCAAGGATTGGTTGACTCTGCAGTTTTGATGTAAGTAGAGGTGGTTAACACAGCAGGGGTTTAGAGACATGATTTGTGACACTGAGCTTAGCAGCTCGAACTGAAAAGACTAGCTGAAAAGGAAAGTTATACTGTCAAGCAGCAGAGAAGTCAACATTTGATTTAGATCATGTTTGTTATAGCAGTTTTCTAACAGTGATTAAATTGTTCTGCAACTTTGACTTGTTTATAGAATATATAAGATCACTGTAAAGAATTCCTGTACAAAGCGTGAGCGGGGACCAGGTCAAGTGGTTGGCTGCGATAAATCGGTATAGCTCTTGTTGGTGTGGTGGAGAAGTTTGTTATTTTCATGCGAACATAGCAATCTGCTGTTGTTGTGACCGCACTAGATTTTCTTGAGCGCTATCGTGAGAGACCACGTGTAACCCTCAATGTCCCAGTGGCCTAATGGATGAGGCATTGGCCTCCTAAGCCAGGGATTGTGGGTTTGAGTCCCATCTGGGGTGTGTTGAAAGCAGAGTGGCGCGCAGGCGTGCTGGGCCCATAACCCAGAGGTCGATGGACTGAAACCATCCTCTGCTAGCTCCAATCCTTTTCTACAATTGCAGTGTAAACAAAGGCTATCTATCTGTCTATCTCATGCTGCCACTCACACATTCCTGCTGCCTCCATGCTGAAATGGCAAGTTATACTGTCAAGCAGGAGAGAAGTCAACATTTGCAGAGAATGCTATATAACAAACAATCAAATCAAAAGCGTGAAGCGGAGAACCAGGTCAAATGTCCGGGGATGAGTTGACTCTGCGCATTTTGAAGTAAGAAGGCTTTTATTTAAATAAAACTGGCAACAAACAAACAAATCAAAAGCGTGAAGCAGATCTCAAGGTCAAGAGGGCAAGGATTGGTTGACTCTGCAGTTTTGATGTAAGTAGAGGTGGTTAACACAGCAGGGGTTTAGAGACATGATTTGTGACACTGAGCTTAGCAGCTCGAACTGAAACGACTAGCTGAAAAGGAAAGTTATACTGTCAAGCAGCAGAGAAGTCAACATTTGCAGAGAATGCTATATAACAAACAATCAAATCAAAAGCGTGAAGCGGAGAACCAGGTCAAATGTCCGGGGATGAGTTGACTCTGCACTTTTGAAGTAAGAAGGCTTTTATTTAAATAAAACTGGCAACAAACAAACAAATCAAAAGCGTGAAGCAGATCTCAAGGTCAAGAGGGCAAGGATTGGTTGACTCTGCAGTTTTGATGTAAGTAGAGGTGGTTAACACAGCAGGGGTTTAGAGACATGATTTGTGACACTGAGCTTAGCAGCTCGAACTGAAAAGACTAGCTGAAAAGGAAAGTTATACTGTCAAGCAGCAGAGAAGTCAACATTTGGTTCTAAGTTGCAGTTTCCCAGATCAGTGCTTTGTCTATGAGCAGTTTTCTGAACAGTGCCACCTTAAATTGTTCTGCAACTTTGACTTGTTTATAGAAATATAGAGATCACTGTAGAAGAATTCCTGTACACAGCGATGGGCGGGAGGGTCAAGTGGTTGGTTGCTGCGATAATCGGTATAGGTCTTGTTGGTGTGGTGGAGAAGTGTGTGATTTTCATGCCGAGCATAGCAATCTGCTGTTGTTGTGACCGCACTAGATTTTCTTGAGCCGCTATCGTGAGAGACCCGCGTGTAACCCCTCAATGTCCCAGTGGCCTAATGGATAAGGCATTGGCCTCCTAAGCCAGGGATTGTGGGTTCGAGTCCCATCTGGGGTGTGTTGAAAGCAGAGTGGCGCAGCGGAAGCGTGCTGGGCCCATAACCCAGAGGTCGATGGATCGAAACCATCCTCTGCTAGCTCCAATCCTTTACTACAATTGCAGTGTAGTGAAGTCAACATTTGCAGAGAATGCTATATAACAAACAATCAAATCAAAAGCGTGAAGTGGAGAACCAGGTCAAATGTCCGGGGATGAGTTGACTCTGCACTTTTGAAGTAAGAAGGCTTTTATTTAAATAAAACTGGCAACAAACAAACAAATCAAAAGCGTGAAGCAGATCTCAAGGTCAAGAGGGCAAGGATTGGTTGACTCTGCAGTTTTGATGTAAGTAGAGGTGGTTAACACAGCAGGGGTTTAGAGACATGATTTGTGACACTGAGCTTAGCAGCTCGAACTGAAACGACTAGCTGAAAAGGAAAGTTATACTGTCAAGCAGCAGAGAAGTCAACATTTGCAGAGAATGCTATATAACAAACAATCAAATCAAAAGCGTGAAGCGGAGAACCAGGTCAAATGTCCGGGGATGAGTTGACTCTGCACTTTTGAAGTAAGAAGGCTTTTATTTAAATAAAACTGGCAACAAACAAACAAATCAAAAGCGTGAAGCAGATCTCAAGGTCAAGAGGGCAAGGATTGGTTGACTCTGCAGTTTTGATGTAAGTAGAGGTGGTTAACACAGCAGGGGTTTAGAGACATGATTTGTGACACTGAGCTTAGCAGCTCGAACTGAAAAGACTAGCTGAAAAGGAAAGTTATACTGTCAAGCAGCAGAGAAGTCAACATTTGCAGAGAATGCTATATAACAAACAATCAAATCAAAAGCGTGAAGCGGAGAACCAGGTCAAATGTCCGGGGATGAGTTGACTCTGCACTTTTGAAGTAAGAAGGCTTTTATTTAAATAAAACTGGCAACAAACAAACAAATCAAAAGCGTGAAGCAGATCTCAAGGTCAAGAGGGCAAGGATTGGTTGACTCTGCAGTTTTGATGTAAGTAGAGGTGGTTAACACAGCAGGGGTTTAGAGACATGATTTGTGACACTGAGCTTAGCAGCTCGAACTGAAAAGACTAGCTGAAAAGGAAAGTTATACTGTCAAGCAGCAGAGAAGTCAACATTTGCAGAGAATGCTATATAACAAACAATCAAATCAAAAGCGTGAAGCGGAGAACCAGGTCAAATGTCCGGGGATGAGTTGACTCTGCACTTTTGAAGTAAGAAGGCTTTTATTTAAATAAAACTGGCAACAAACAAACAAATCAAAAGCGTGAAGCAGATCTCAAGGTCAAGAGGGCAAGGATTGGTTGACTCTGCAGTTTTGATGTAAGTAGAGGTGGTTAACACAGCAGGGGTTTAGAGACATGATTTGTGACACTGAGCTTAGCAGCTCGAACTGAAAAGACTAGCTGAAAAGGAAAGTTATACTGTCAAGCAGCAGAGAAGTCAACATTTGCAGAGAATGCTATATAACAAACAATCAAATCAAAAGCGTGAAGCGGAGAACCAGGTCAAATGTCCGGAGATGAGTTGACTCTGCACTTTTGAAGTAAGAAGGCTTTTATTTAAATAAAACTGGCAACAAACAAACAAATCAAAAGCGTGAAGCAGATCTCAAGGTCAAGAGGGCAAGGATTGGTTGACTCTGCAGTTTTGATGTAAGTAGAGGTGGTTAACACAGCAGGGGTTTAGAGACATGATTTGTGACACTGAGCTTAGCAGCTCGAACTGAAACGACTAGCTGAAAAGGAAAGTTATACTGTCAAGCAGCAGAGAAGTCAACATTTGCAGAGAATGCTATATAACAAACAATCAAATCAAAAGCGTGAAGCGGAGAACCAGGTCAAATGTCCGGGGATGAGTTGACTCTGCACTTTTGAAGTAAGAAGGCTTTTATTTAAATAAAACTGGCAACAAACAAACAAATCAAAAGCGTGAAGCAGATCTCAAGGTCAAGAGGGCAAGGATTGGTTGACTCTGCAGTTTTGATGTAAGTAGAGGTGGTTAACACAGCAGGGGTTTAGAGACATGATTTGTGACACTGAGCTTAGCAGCTCGAACTGAAAAGACTAGCTGAAAAGGAAAGTTATACTGTCAAGCAGCAGAGAAGTCAACATTTGGTTCTAAGTTGCAGTTTCCCAGATCAGTGCTTTGTCTATGAGCAGTTTTCTGAACAGTGCCACCTTAAATTGTTCTGCAACTTTGACTTGTTTATAGAAGTATAGAGATCACTGTAGAAGAATTCCTGTACACAGCGATGGGCGGGAGGGTCAAGTGGTTGGTTGCTGCGATAATCGGTATAGGTCTTGTTGGTGTGGTGGAGAAGTGTGTGATTTTCATGCCGAGCATAGCAATCTGCTGTTGTTGTGACCGCACTAGATTTTCTTGAGCCGCTATCGTGAGAGACCCGCGTGTAACCCCTCAATGTCCCAGTGGCCTAATGGATAAGGCATTGGCCTCCCTAATAAGCGGATTGTGGGTTCGAGTCCCATCTGGGGTGTGTTGAAAGCAGAGTGGCGCCGGGAAGGCGTGCTGGGCCCATAACCCAGAGGTCGATGGATCGAAACCATCCTCTGCTAGCTCCAATCCTTTTCTACAATTGCAGTGTAAACAAAGGCTATCTATCTGTCTATCTCATGCTGCCACTCACACATTCCTACTGCCTCCATGCTGATGGCAAGTTATACTGTCAAGGAGGAGAGAAGTCAACATTTGCAGAGAATGCTATATAACAAACAATCAAATCAAAAGCGTGAAGTGGAGAACCAGGTCAAATGTCCGGGGATGAGTTGACTCTGCACTTTTGAAGTAAGAAGGCTTTTATTTAAATAAAACTGGCAACAAACAAACAAATCAAAAGCGTGAAGCAGATCTCAAGGTCAAGAGGGCAAGGATTGGTTGACTCTGCAGTTTTGATGTAAGTAGAGGTGGTTAACACAGCAGGGGTTTAGAGACATGATTTGTGACACTGAGCTTAGCAGCTCGAACTGAAGAAAGACTAGCTGAAAAGGAAAGTTATACTGTCAAGCAGCAGAGAAGTCAACATTTGCAGAGAATGCTATATAACAAACAATCAAATCAAAAGCGTGAAGCGGAGAACCAGGTCAAATGTCCGGGGATGAGTTGACTCTGCACTTTTGAAGTAAGAAGGCTTTTATTTAAATAAAACTGGGCAACAAACAAACAAATCAAAAGCGTGAAGCAGATCTCAAGGTCAAGAGGGCAAGGATTGGTTGACTCTGCAGTTTTGATGTAAGTAGAGGTGGTTAACACAGCAGGGGTTTAGAGACATGATTTGTGACACTGAGCTTAGCAGCTCGAACTGAAAAGACTAGCTGAAAAGGAAAGTTATACTGTCAAGAAGCAGAGAAGTCAACATTTGCAGAGAATGCTATATAACAAACAATCAAATCAAAAGCGTGAAGCGGAGAACCAGGTCAAATGTCCGGGGATGAGTTGACTCTGCACTTTTGAAGTAAGAAGGCTTTTATTTAAATAAAACTGGCAACAAACAAACAAATCAAAAGCGTGAAGCAGATCTCAAGGTCAAGAGGGCAAGGATTGGTTGACTCTGCAGTTTTGATGTAAGTAGAGGTGGTTAACACAGCGGGGGTTTAGAGACATGATTTGTGACACTGAGCTTAGCAGCTCGAACTGAAAAGACTAGCTGAAAAGGAAAGTTATACTGTCAAGCAGCAGAGAAGTCAACATTTGCAGAGAATGCTATATAACAAACAATCAAATCAAAAGCGTGAAGCGGCGAACCAGGTCAAATGTCCGGAGATGAGTTGACTCTGCACTTTTGAAGTAAGAAGGCTTTTATTTAAATAAAACTGGCAACAAACAAACAAATCAAAAGCGTGAAGCAGATCTCAAGGTCAAGAGGGCAAGGATTGGTTGACTCTGCAGTTTTGATGTGAAGTAGAGGTGGTTAACACAGCAGGGGTTTAGAGACATGATTTGTGACACTGAGCTTAGCAGCTCGAACTGAAACGACTAGCTGAAAAGGAAAGTTATACTGTCAAGCAGCAGAGAAGTCAACATTTGCAGAGAATGCTATATAACAAACAATCAAATCAAAAGCGTGAAGCGGAGAACCAGGTCAAATGTCCGGGGATGAGTTGACTCTGCACTTTTGAAGTAAGAAGGCTTTTATTTAAATAAAACTGGCAACAAACAAACAAATCAAAAGCGTGAAGCAGATCTCAAGGTCAAGAGGGCAAGGATTGGTTGACTCTGCAGTTTTGATGTAAGTAGAGGTGGTTAACACAGCAGGGGTTTAGAGACATGATTTGTGACACTGAGCTTAGCAGCTCGAACTGAAAAGACTAGCTGAAAAGGAAAGTTATACTGTCAAGCAGCAGAGAAGTCAACATTTGGTTCTAAGTTGCAGTTTCCCAGATCAGTGCTTTGTCTATGAGCAGTTTTCTGAACAGTGCCACCTTAAATTGTTCTGCAACTTTGACTTGTTTATAGAAGTATAGAGATCACTGTAGAAGAATTCCTGTACACAGCGATGGGCGGGAGGGTCAAGTGGTTGGTTGCTGCGATAATCGGTATAGGTCTTGTTGGTGTGGTGGAGAAGTGTGTGATTTTCATGCCGAGCATAGCAATCTGCTGTTGTTGTGACCGCACTAGATTTTCTTGAGCCGCTATCGTGAGAGACCCGCGTGTAACCCCTCAATGTCCCAGTGGCCTAATGGATAAGGCATTGGCCTCCTAAGCCAGGGATTGTGGGTTCGAGTCCCATCTGGGGTGTGTTGAAAGCAGAGTGGCGCAGCGGAAGCGTGCTGGGCCCATAACCCAGAGGTCGATGGATCGAAACCATCCTCTGCTAGCTCCAATCCTTTTCTACAATTGCAGTGTAAACAAAGGCTATCTATCTGTCTATCTCATGCTGCCACTCACACATTCCTACTGCCTCCATGCTGATGGCAAGTTATACTGTCAAGCAGGAGAGAAGTCAACATTTGCAGAGAATGCTATATAACAAACAATCAAATCAAAAGCGTGAAGTGGAGAACCAGGTCAAATGTCCGGGGATGAGTTGACTCTGCACTTTTGAAGTAAGAAGGCTTTTATTTAAATAAAACTGGCAACAAACAAACAAATCAAAAGCGTGAAGCAGATCTCAAGGTCAAGAGGGCAAGGATTGGTTGACTCTGCAGTTTTGATGTAAGTAGAGGTGGTTAACACAGCAGGGGTTTAGAGACATGATTTGTGACACTGAGCTTAGCAGCTCGAACTGAAAAGACTAGCTGAAAAGGAAAAGTTATACTGTCAAGCAGCAGAGAAGTCAACATTTGCAGAGAATGCTATATAACAAACAATCAAATCAAAAGCGTGAAGCGGAGAACCAGGTCAAATGTCCGGGGATGAGTTGACTCTGCACTTTTGAAGTAAGAAGGCTTTTATTTAAATAAAACTGGCAACAAACAAACAAATCAAAAGCGTGAAGCAGATCTCAAGGTCAAGAGGGCAAGGATTGGTTGACTCTGCAGTTTTGATGTAAGTAGAGGTGGTTAACACAGCAGGGGTTTAGAGACATGATTTGTGACACTGAGCTTAGCAGCTCGAACTGAAAAGACTAGCTGAAAAGGAAAGTTATACTGTCAAGCAGCAGAGAAGTCAACATTTGCAGAGAATGCTATATAACAAACAATCAAATCAAAAGCGTGAAGCGGAGAACCAGGTCAAATGTCCGGGGATGAGTTGACTCTGCACTTTTGAAGTAAGAAGGCTTTTATTTAAATAAAACTGGCAACAAACAAACAAATCAAAAGCGTGAAGCAGATCTCAAGGTCAAGAGGGCAAGGATTGGTTGACTCTGCAGTTTTGATGTAAGTAGAGGTGGTTAACACAGCAGGGGTTTAGAGACATGATTTGTGACACTGAGCTTAGCAGCTCGAACTGAAAAGACTAGCTGAAAAGGAAAGTTATACTGTCAAGCAGCAGAGAAGTCAACATTTGCAGAGAATGCTATATAACAAACAATCAAATCAAAAGCGTGAAGCGGAGAACCAGGTCAAATGTCCGGAGATGAGTTGACTCTGCACTTTTGAAGTAAGAAGGCTTTTATTTAAATAAAACTGGCAACAAACAAACAAATCAAAAGCGTGAAGCAGATCTCAAGGTCAAGAGGGCAAGGATTGGTTGACTCTGCAGTTTTGATGTAAGTAGAGGTGGTTAACACAGCAGGGGTTTAGAGACATGATTTGTGACACTGAGCTTAGCAGCTCGAACTGAAACGACTAGCTGAAAAGGAAAGTTATACTGTCAACAGCAGAGAAGTCAACATTTGCAGAGAATGCTATATAACAAACAATCAAATCAAAAGCGTGAAGCGAACAGGTCAAATGTCGGGATGAGTTGACTCTGCACTTTTGAAGTAAGAAGGCTTTTATTTAAATAAAACTGGCAAAAAAAACAAATCAAAAGCGTGAAGCAGATCAAGGCAAGAGGAAGGACTCTGAGTTTTGATGTAAGTAGAGGTGGTTAACACAGCAGGGGTTTAGAGACATGATTTGTGACACTGAGCTTAGCAGCTCGAACTGAAAAGACTAGCTGAAAAGGAAAGTTATACTGTCAAGCAGCAGAGAAGTCAACATTTGGTTCTAAGTTGCAGTTTCCCAGATCAGTGCTTTGTCTATGAGCAGTTTTCTGAACAGTGCCACCTTAAATTGTTCTGCAACTTTGACTTGTTTATAGAAATATAGAGATCACTGTAGAAGAATTCCTGTACACAGCGATGGGCGGGAGGGTCAAGTGGTTGGTTGCTGCGATAATCGGTATAGGTCTTGTTGGTGTGGTGGAGAAGTGTGTGATTTTCATGCCGAGCATAGCAATCTGCTGTTGTTGTGACCGCACTAGATTTTCTTGAGCCGCTATCGTGAGAGACCCGCGTGTAACCCCTCAATGTCCCAGTGGCCTAATGGATAAGGCATTGGCCTCCTAAGCCAGGGATTGTGGGTTCGAGTCCCATCTGGGGTGTGTTGAAAGCAGAGTGGCGCAGCGGAAGCGTGCTGGGCCCATAACCCAGAGGTCGATGGATTGAAACCATCCTCTGCTAGCTCCAATCCTTTTCTACAATTGCAGTGTAAACAAAGGCTATCTATCTGTCTATCTCATGCTGCCACTCACACATTCCTGCTGCCTCCATGCTGATGGCAAGTTATACTGTCAAGCAGGAGAGAAGTCAACATTTGCAGAGAATGCTATATAACAAACAATCAAATCAAAAGCGTGAAGGGGGAGAACCAGGTCAAATGTCCGGGGATGAGTTGACTCTGCACTTTTGAAGTAAGAAGAGGCTTTTATTAATAAAAAAAACTGGCAACAAACAAACAAATCAAAAGCGTGAAGCAGATCTCAAGGTCAAGAGGGCAAGGATTGGTTGACTCTGCAGTTTTGATGTAAGTAGAGGTGGTTAACACAGCAGGGGTTTAGAGACATGATTTGTGACACTGAGCTTAGCAGCTCGAACTGAAAAGACTAGCTGAA